GCTAAGTCACTTCAGTCGTGTCCGACTCTGTGCGACCCCAGAGACGGCAGCCCACCAGGCTCCCCCATCCCTGGGGTTCTCCAGGCGAGAACACTGGAGTGGGCTGCCATTTCCTTCTCCAAAGCATGAAGGTGAAAAGTGAAAGTGAAGTCGCTCAGTCGTGTCTGACGCTCAGCGACCCCATGGACTGCAGCCCACCAGGCTCCTCCGTCCCTGGGATTCTCCAAGCAAGAGTACNGTCCCTGGGATTCTCCAGGCAAGAGTACTGGAGTGGGTTGCCATATGGTTTTTCAAAGTGGTAGTACCCTTTTATACTGCCCACCCTTATTTTTTTTTTCACCCTTATTTTTTAAATTGATACGTAGATATGAGTTTCTAACTGCCTCTTGCATCAGTTTTGTTAGGCCACATTTCTCAAGGAATATGTCCATTTCATGTAAGTTCTCGAATTTATTGGCATAAAGTTGTCGACAGGATCCATTTATTATCTCTTCATGTCTGTAGGGCCTGTAGTGATGTTCCTTTCTCAAGTCTGACACTGGAAATTTGTGTCTTCTCTTTTTTCCCAGTGCTCAAGTCTAACTGAAAGTTTTTATTGACTTTTTTTTTTAAACCAGTTTACTTATTTCCATGCTTATTTTATTTCCCTTCTTTTATTTTAGCTTTGTTTAAAATCCCTCATCTTTTCCTAGCTTCTTAAGGTAGAACCTCATTGATTTGAACCTTTATTCTTTTCTGATTTAGGCTTTTAAGGGTGTATGTTTCCCTCCAGGCATTGTTTTAGTTATATCATACACATATTGATATCTGTTATTATCATTCAGTTTGAAATATTTTCCAACTTTTTTCTTGTGATTTGTCTGATTTATGAGATAGTTAGAAGTATGTTAGTAAAGTTCCAAATACTTGAGGATTTCCTGGGTATCACAGCAGGCTGATTTCTCATTTAAAGCATCTGGTCAGATAAACGTGATGCTGTTTTGATCTTTTGATACTTATCACCACTTGCTTGGGCAGCACATGTGGCCCACTTGGTGAATATGCCGTGTGTCCTTGAAAAGAATGTGTATTCTTCAGGTGGTGGACGCGGTGTCCTGCAGACCACTTGGATCCAGTTCTTATCTCCCTTTACTCATTTTTAAATGCACCTGTTCTGTCAGTTACTCAGGGAGGGGCACTCAGGTCTCTGCCCACGATCAAAGTTGGTCTGTTCCTGTCAGTGTTTGCTCCATGTGTTATGAAGCCATATTATTAGGTGCAAACATTTAGGAAAGATGTCTGCGCCTAATGAGTTGAACCTCTTATCATTATGAAACATCCCTCTTTGTGCTGATGTTTATTTTTTCCTGATATTATTAATAAGGCAAATTAGCTTTTCTATGAGTAGCATGTCCCTGGCAGATCTTTTTCCACCTTTTGTTTCAGCTGCCTGAGTCTTTATGGTGACAGCCTGTGTTTGGCTTTTCTTTCGGCTCTCTGTCCTCGTATTTTTTGTAATCAGACTGCAGAATCACTAGTCTAAGAGAGAAAACTAAAATGTAAGAAATAGGTTAATAAGCAGAAAATGAATGAGAAATAAATAGCAAATCTTCTACAATCGTGCATTTGCTTTCTAAAAAGTAAAATTTGAAGATATCCTTATGTGAACACCAGTATCACAACTCCACACTCATCGGTACTGTGAGTCTTTCCTCCGCAGGAAGATTCCCACCTGGGAGGTTGACACTGCAGATGCTCCGTGACCTAAGGAGGCAGAGAAGGGTAGCCGTGTTACTGGTGTGATCTAGCCCTCGTTTCTCTCCTCCTGCTTCTGTCTCCGAATTTCCTTTCTGGTCACTGCCTTGCTCTCACTGCCACCATCCCGGCCACCACCACCTCCGCCTTGGGCTTCGAAAGTAGGCCCTTGCGTGGTGGTCTTGTGACCACTGGCCTCTCTGATCCGTTTTCCACCCTGTGGTCAAGACCGTGTGTGTCAGCTGTTCCCTGGGCCCAGAACGCTCCCCTTGAGGCCCCTCTTCTCTCAGTGGGTCTCTGCGTCTCTGGGTCGCGTTTCAGCTCTCACGCCCTCCAAGAGACCTGCTATCGGGGTGCACCTTCCCCTCAGGACTTCACTGTGTTCTTCGCCTTTTGCTGTGAGCACTTACTCTGGTTGAGAGTTTACCTGTGCCTGCCCTTGGAGCGGGAGGTGAGTTCCCCGCCTGTGGGGTCTGCGTGACGGTCACCTGTGTAGTTAAGTCCCCTGCCCTGCTGGCCCAGGGAAGTGCTCCTTAAATACTTGTTAGCATCCGTCAGTGACCTCCATGTTTTCCTGTTTCTTTACATCTTCAAGTAAAATCTTACAGTTTTCTTCACATGGTATTTCTTGTGCATTTCTTGTTAAGCTTACGCCTGTAACCTTTTCCACTTCTTTTTTTGTCAGCAGAGACAAGCTATTGATTTTTTGGCTCTCGTATCTGCCCGTCTTGCTGAACTCAGAAGCTGGGGTCCCACGTGTCTTGGGGTGCTGCTTGCCTGTCTGCTGGCTTCATCCTCAGGCTGGTGGGGGGCTGGGAGGCTGCTGACCCCCAGCCTGACATTTGGCACCTCCTGCATTCAGAGGAAGCAGAGATCCAGAGATCAGAGATCCAGCAGATCCGCTGGGAGCCAGGAGAGGTGTCCTCAGGCGCGCTGGTGCCTCTGTGCTCTCTTGCCAGCGTTCAGATGGGGTCCCAGGCCCATGGCCAGATTGGGCGCTGGTGAGGGTGTGGCTTCACCCCCATGCCAACCAGCCCAGCCTGAGTGCAGAGCAGGCTGGTGGGTTCCTGCCCCTGGCCTCCTGGGGTGTGTGTGTGTGTGTGTGTGTGTGTGTGTGTGTGTAGGTGTGTAGGTTCCTGCCTGTAACCTGCTGGGGTGTGTGTGTGTGTGTGTGTGTGTAGGCGTGTGGGTTCCTCCCTCTGACCTGCTGGTGTGTGTGTGTGTGTGTGTGTGTGGTCACTTTGCACAGTCAGGATTCTGCTGGAAAGGTGGAAGGGGCGGATGGGCCTGGGTTGAAAGGCCACTCCTGACCCCTGTCAGAGTGGCCCTGGGACTTGTCCCATCCACATCCCGACACCTGGATCAGGTTGAAAAATCTCCTGGTGTGGAGCGGCCTTTTCATTCCTGCAGTCATACTGATCTTGGACCTTCAGTGGTGTTTCCGTCTGCTGAGGTTTGATTTTGGATCCTTCTGTCTGTGAGATCTGTCTGCCTGAACAGAAGCCTCCTTAGTAATAGGGAGTACTCGGGGACATGCAGGCCCCTTGGTTCGCCTGCCTCCACGGCCGAGCCCCTCACCTCTCTGAGCCTGTTCCTCTGTCACCCACTAGGACCGTAGCCCCAGCTAACTCACGCTGTCTAGAGGACCTCACACCTGAAAGCTCCCTTTCAGCATCAGAGTCAGAACTGTGTCTCACTGTATTGACTGAAGGTACCACCTTGTGAGGGTCCTTCATGAGGAGAGAGGTTCCGAGGACATCAGTGGTGGAGATTTCTCTAGGCTTTCTTCATAAACAATCCTCAGAAAGCTGGGCTCGTGCAGGCACCGAGGCCCCAGGAACGTGGTTAGTAAACATCGCGTTATTGGTGTTCGGATATTAGGTTCCTGCTTTTCATAATATCCTCAGGGAACTGGGGAAGATTTGATATTTTCTGAGATTGCCGTAAAATGCAAGTTATTGCTGGTGCTGTCGCCCAATTATTCTGTACTTATTTTACTTAGACTTTAGTAATTGGAAAAAGATTAGATGTCAGGACTTTGTATTTTGTTGATTCTATTACCAGAGTTCTTCTCTTTAATCATTTCCTTTATTCCTAGTATTAATCATTAGCTCTGAGCTGTTAAGGGAAGAACTTAACTTAAAGGGAAGAAATAATTACTTCCATTTCTATAGGACTGACTGTTCGGTACTTACAGATTGAAATGTGTTCTCTGGTCACTCGGGGCCTGTGATGGAAACCCTCGAGGAGACCCCGAAGAGCAGAAAGAACTCGGGGCCCTGACTTACCGGCCTTCCCAGGCTGTGCCCTGACCTGCTCTTGTCCAGGCCCCTCTGTCCCTGCCAGCCCCCCACTCTGTGACCGTTCCCCAACCTTAGATGTCTGTCAGGGCAGCTGTGACTTGTACTGTTGAAGCTTGATTGTCCCCAGGGTGTGATGTGGCCACATCCTTAATCAGTGCTGTGTAGACACAAGCTTATCTCCACGAACTGATGTCTTTCAAAACCCCTCCTGACTTGGAGAACAGACTTATGGACCTGGGCCAGGGAGGAAGGAGTGGGTGGGACGAATGGAAGGCGGAGCTGGAGGCATATACGTTACCACATTAAAATAGGCAACCCGTGGGGGTTTGCTGCCTGACTCTGGACTCACACCGAGCTCTGTAACCACCTTGAGGGGTCAGGTGGGGTGGGAGGCGGGAGGGAGGTTCAAGATGGGGGGGGCACACGCATACCTCTGGCTGACTTGTGTTAATGTGTGGCAGAGGCCAGCACAATATCGTGAAGCAACTATCCTTCAGTTAAAAATAGATAAATCTATTTTAAAAAAATCTGTTCTGAGAAGCGCACCTCATGTAGGTCTTAAAAAGTGGTGAGAGTGACAGGGGATGAAGGAAAGATGTGAGGTTGGGGGGGGCGGGGGTGGAGAGAGGGAAGTGGGTGGGTGGGAAGGAAGGAAGGGTGGAAGGAAACGTGTCCTCTGCACCCCGCCTGTCCCTGTGGTTACCGGGACGCTCGGGCCGTGTTGAGCAAATATGTGCTAAGATCTAAACGCAAACAGGTCACATTTAGCTTGGTTTGGATAGAGTGGTAACTTCTCCGGTGTGTTAAAAACAATCAGTATCTGAAATTGTTCTCATTCAGGTTTGTTCTGGTTTCATTTATGAGGTTCCTTCCCCCACTAGGAGCTGGGGGAGGATGTCGCCCGAGGGGAAGCTTTGCCTGCCGTCTGTAACCCCCTTCTTCCCATCTCTCTTGTATTGACAGAGGAGCTCAGGAAGCTAAGCTGGTCCGGGATCCCCAAGCCCGTCCGTGCCGTCACGTGGAAGCTGCTCTCAGTAAGCTGCCCCCCTCTGTGCCCCCGCCCTGCACCCCCTGCCCCGGCGCACATAGTCCTCCTGCGAGGACAGGCTCTCCCGGCCGGCTGGGCTCCTAGCCCCATGTGCATCCTGGCTCCACCTCGCGGATCCGGCTTCGGCCGGGGCTGCGATGGCATCGCCCACCCTTTGCTCAGTTTCAGGCTTGCTTTGCCAAGGCTGGCAGAAAACGAGGGCAAGTCATAACTTAGGATGACTGTGTCCTCCGATCTTATTATTTTTAAAGTCTTTGTGGTACTTCCAAACCTGTGTTATAAAATGGGTTCCAGCATAGAAGATTCTTTCAGCTCTGAGGACTCAAACAGGGAAATGTGTTTGAGGATCTTTTAAAAAGCATCAGTGGTGATGGTGTTGGACCTGTGTGCGTTTGTGTGACAGAGGCTGGGCCGTGGCTCCCTCACACCCAGTGGGGAGCAGTGCGTTCTGGGGGCTTCAGGAGAAGGTGGGAGCTGGTTCTTGCTGTGAGTCAATGTCAGAAGTGAGCTTGGCCCTGCCGATCATCTCAGAGTCGTTTCTAGACAGCTTTCTTCCCGTTTCCTTTTTTTTTTCCTTATTATTTTGGGAGCTAAGTCAATAGGGACCCCTAAGAGTTTACCCTAAATTGGGTCTGACTTTCAGTATTAAAGACTCTTTCTTGCTAATGAGTTTTAATAAATTTGCAGCTTAGTACCTCGTAATCTTACATGCAGATGCAGCTCTGAACAGTGAATATTTATTGATCAAATATTCTCTTGCAATTAAAATCAGACCTGCTGCCATTGCTAATGTTTTTGTTCGGTGTTTTTTTTATTTTAAGCATTTGTATCCGGTTTTCCCAACGTCCTCTAAGAGAGGCTACAGGCTTTCCAGGCCGCATTTTAGGAGGTCCGCGTGAAAACACCTTTCCGGGGTCTCTGTGGAGGCTTTGCGTTTGTGAAGGGTGCGCTCCTCCTGGTGGGAAGCCCTCTGAATCACGTTGTCCCGTCCTCTTCCCTCTGACTCCCCACCTCTGCGGGTCGTGGTTAGACACCCTCCCCTGCTGCCCAGTGGCTGCCTGGGAGGAAGAGCCACCTGGGGGCAGGGGCTCTGAATCACGTTGTCCCGTCCTCTTCCCTCTGACTCCCCACCTCTGCGGGTCGTGGTTAGACACCCTCCCCTGCTGCCCAGTGACTGCCTGGGAGGAAGAGCCACCTGGGGTCAGGGGGCAGGGGTCAGGGGGCAACGTGAGATCCGCTCTGCGGGGCTGAGGCGGGGCGGGGCGGCGGGGAGGGTCTGTGACCAGCGGCGCTGGGGTGCAGGTGACGGAGTCTGGGCTTCTCGGAAGTTTATTCACGCCATCACTGCTGATTACGGGGGCCCTTGCCCATTAGTTCATGGGAAATAGATGGGGAGACAGTGGAAACAGTGTCAGACTTTATATTTTTGGGCTCCAAAATCACTGCAGATGGTGACTGCAGCCATGAAATTAAAAGATGCTTCCTCCTTGGAAGGAAAGTTATGACCTTGCTGCAGTTTATGGGGTTGCAAAGAGTCGGACACGACTGAGCGACTGAACTGAACTGAACTGTCCAGAGGCGGAGGGGAGCCGGACTTCAGTGCACCATAGTGGGGGCCTTGCGGCTGGTCAGGGGTGCAGCGGGATTTGATCTGGGGACCACAGACCGTGGGGTGCGTGGGCCTCACCTGCGGCCCCAGTGGGCGAGAGGAGGACGACACTGTCTTGGGCATGTGTCTGGGGTCTTCACCCTCGGGGTCTGAAAGCAGAGGTGGGCTGGGTGGAGGAAGAGGGCAGAGGTGGCTAGGGCAGTTCTCGCTGTCTTCGACTTGCGTTGATGGATGAGTTAAAAAAAAAAAAGGCGTTGGGGACAGTGAGCAGAGCCCATCCCTCCAAAGGTGGGCCACCAGCAGGGATGGCATTCCAGGGCTTCCTGGAGAAGGTGGGGTTCCTCTGGCCATCTCTAAGGGCGTGTCGGGGTTCCCTGAGTGAGCAACATGGGCGGGCATGTGACCCGGGGGAGGCAGAGAGTCAACACTGAGGCTCCCCAGGAACCGGCGGGTCAGCTGACCCCTTGGCGCCGGAGGGGATGGGAGGTGGGAGGGTGGGGTGGGGAGCCCAGGTGCCTGGGGCTGGGCTGCTTCCNGGCGGGTGGGCTCCGGCCCCCTCTCAACCTGCGGCTTTCCATTCTGGGTCCACACTCGTGTTCCCCCAGGGGCTTGGGAATTGCTGCCATCTGCATTCCCCCGGGGTGTTCACGCAGGCCCGGGTGGGGACCGCTGCTCTAGGACACTCTGGTCCCCCGTGGGACAGGGCAGGGCACCCCTGAGCCAGCTGGGAGACGGGGTATCGAGGGCAGCACCCCTGGGCAGAGGCGCTGGGAGGGCATGGCTGGGCCTGACTCACCCGCAGCTGAGGGGCGGGTGTCGGTAACAGTTTATGCTCAGTCGAGCTTATGCTCAATCCTGTTTAGGAAGACCACCAACTTGTGTGATGTGTTCAGGATTCGTCGTTAACACAACACAATCCCGGTGGCTTGCTTAACGGATGAGTAGGAGATGCCGTGTTAATGAAGAAAGATGGAAGCTGGTCTGGGGCACAGGTTAGCCCCAGAGCTCACCGGCAAACCACCACTGACGCCATCTAACGCCGGAATTCCATGCACGTGGTGCAGAAACTTTTAAAAGTCAATGCTGTAGACACTGTTTTCCTTCAAATAGATAGTCAACAGGGACCTGCTGCATGGCGCAGGGAACCCCGCTCAATATTCTGTACTAACCTGAGTGGGAAAAGAGCTTGAAACAAGAGCGGGGGATACACGCGTATGTGTCACTGAAGCACTTCACTGTAAAACCTGAAACTAACGCGACGTTGTTAATCAACTATACTCCAACGTGAAACAAAAATTTAAAAATTAATGCTCTAGAAAATTACATCTTTGGCTCTTTTAAAAAAACATTTCAGAAATACCCAACAAAAAGTAAGCACTTGCCATTCGTGGCAGTCAGTAGAATGGTTGGAAATGATGAGTGAAGCTCTTGTACCGTGTTTCCTTCTTTGCATTTATTGAGGTGAGTTTGCACGTGAACCCAGGGGGAGGGAGTGACTTGATGTTTGTGTCACCAGGACAGTTCTGATATAAGTATATGCATGCATTGTTTTACATTTATGATTAGTGTTTTTATAGCATGCTAATACAGCAATTAAATTTTCTGTAGTTCTGTCATTTAAAATTCATCGCATACTTGAATATATTTCATTTGCATAATTTCCCGTCTTGCTTAATTATATCTAGAGGCCGCAACTTCGTGTGTGTGTTTTCCTTTAGGAAGGGGAGCGTCCGGAGGCTGTGTGGGCTCGCTTATTGCCCGCGTCCCTGCTTCGATGCCCTTGCTTTTCAGGACTTCTGTCTCTGTTTTTTGGTTAACATTCGAGGGTGGCGAGAATTTCTGGGTCCTTGTTCCCGTTCAGTTAGAATGCGCTGGTGGCGCCCAAGGTGGTCTGTGTCAGGCTGTCCCCTCCGGCCGCAGCCGGCGCCCCCTGTGGCGGCCCCAGCGCCCTGACCTGGCCGCTGCATGCGTGTCCACGCTGTCTCGGGCTCGCCCAGGGCTCCCTGTAGCTGTCAGCTGTGTCAGGGCGTCTGTCCTCTGCCTCTCCACCTCCATCCGCTCCTCCGTCTCCAGACCCAGCCCAGAGGAGGACACCAGTCCATCCCTGTTCAGTTGCTCAGTCGTGTCTGACTCCGCGACCCCATGGACTGTAGCCCACTGAGCTTCTCTGTCCATGGGATTTCCCAGGCAAGAATACTGGAGTGGGTTGCCATGTCCTCCTCCAGGGGCTCTTCCCAAGGCAGGGATCAAGCTCACATCTCCTGCATTGGCAGGTATATTCTTTACCCCCGAGCCCCCTGCTTCTCATGAATGAGCTCAGACACGACCTCCTAGCCTCCTGGGTGGGGACCCTTCCTGGGGTGTGACAGTGTCATCCTAGATCTGTTGACCTCATGCCTTCATCCACCAATTATCTGTGGAGCATCGGCTGTGCCGGGGATGTTTGTGAACAGAAGGGGTGACGATTCCTGCGTGCTGGAGCTGGCATGCCAGTGAGAGGAGCTGGCAGTAAATGCAGCGAGTAAATTTCACAGCATTTTGGAAGGGCTGATGTAACAGAACAAAACAGGAGCGAAGTAGGAGGGGTCCCCAGGGCCGGGCTGGTGGCTGGGGTGGTGAGCTGGGAGCCAGAACTTGCGGGAGGGGAGGGACGGGGCCTTCAGGGTCTTGGTCCCACCCAGGTCCAAGGGCTCCTTGGAGAGGGCGGCACCGACTCCAGCAGGGCATGGGCCATCGGGACGTGGTGCAGACCAGGCAGCCCCGCAGCCCTCTCTGATGAAGAGGAGGGTAGGCGCAGTGCCTAGATGTGTCCCTCGGCCCCGGGGCTGGGAAGGGGGTGGGCGCTGGGCAGGGGCTCCTGTGGAAGGGCCGCAGCGCCCGCGCCTGGAGCCCAGACCCCAGAGGCTGGGAGCCGGCCCTGCAGAGGCGCAGGCGGTGGCTTCATGGGGCGGCACCACCTCTTGTGGCTCTGCAGCTGCCCGGCTCTGCCCGCGTTGCTGAGATTCTCCTGTGATGAGGGGGTGTGGCTATGTTCCTGGAGGGGTTCCCTGCAGGCTGGATGTGACCTGTGACTGGTGGTCTGCTGGCCCATGATGCAGGGGATGGGGCCCAGGGCAGAGGGAGCTCAGAGGGGCCTTGAGCCTTGGGGGTGCCAGGCGGGGGAAGGGAGAGTATCCCGTGCTGAGAGGTGGGCAGGGCCAGGCCGGCTGGGCGACCTGGTTTCCGGGGAGAGGCGGGGTCTGGTCCCCCAGCAGCTCCGGTGGTGGGGGTGCTCGGAGGGGTGGGGCTCGGGTGGGCGTGCTTTGCCTCCTGCCCTCCACCAGGTTAGTGTGTGGCAGGACCCCCGGCGAGGAGCTGTCCTTACCTGGGGCTGTAAG